AGCTCCTTCACCACCATATCTCCTTAGCACAAGTAACTGTTAAAGTATAAAAAGTAACCTAAACATGGATTAATTAATTAATTAATGATTAATTCAATTTTTAAGCACTTAAAAATATTTTTACAGATAAATTGAGCAGTGAGTAGCATTTTAATGGAAAATTAGGCTCTGGTTCATCTTCACAATTTAAAAGGAAATTGAAAGGTGAAGCCTTGCAATCAAAAATGAAAATGTAAAAATCATAGAACCAGAACATTTAAAGGAGTGTTAAGATATTTGTACTAGGAACACCAACAAATATATGTTATTTCTCACTTTTTAATAACTTATAATTATGAGGTATTTATTATACACACACACACATATACATATATATGTGTGTATAGATAGATAGATATTATAAATAAATAAATATAAATATTTATTTATTTATCTATTTATGTATAATGGACCAGAAAAGAATTAAGGTAAAACAAGATGAAAATGACATCATAAGGATTAACAGTTAGACGTGGAACCACCTAAAATCAATGCATTTTGTTTTACCTAAAGATTCAGAATAGTATAGAAATAGACAAGCATGTTTGAATATATCATCTCATTTTATCTGACTACATGACACATTGCAATTTTCTTGAAATAGTAATTTCTTTAGGCTATTAAAAGTTGAAATATGAGTTTGAGATGACTATATATGAAAGAAATTGTACCTAATGAAGGAACTCTAGTGTGTCTTGTTAGAAGGGAATTCTCCATGAAAATAATTTCCTATTCAGGAAATTTTTTGGATTAATGAAAACAGAATACTTGATGTGCTAATTTGCATTCTGTTGAGTTGATAATTTAAAAATAGTATTGGTAGTTTTTAAGGGTTATTGTTTTGTGTAAATGAAAAATACTGTCAATAACCATCTGTGGTAGTTAACATTATGTGTCAACTTGGCTGGGCCTGATTTTAAGTGGCTGGGCAACTAGATGCACTTATTCCCCATGAGGAAATTGGTAATCAACTCCATGGTGGATCTGCTGGTGCAGTATATAAGGCAAAACTTTGGAAATAGTCTCAGCATCTTTTTGGCATGCTTGGCCCTGCATGTGGCTGAGTCTTCATTTAGCAGCCTGTCATATTTCCTACTGATTTTATGACTATCTCAGGACTTGAACTAATGGCCTGCTGGATTGTTTAGTAATATTGAGACTGTGCCATTTTCTTTGTTGACCTTGGGCTTGTCAGTCTCAGTAGCCAGCAGCTGCCTGAGTGAAGAGACACCTTTAGCTCCAGTGGGGCTGGGAGCAAGAGGCAGAGCTAAAGCCCAAGGTCAAGGGGCTTTCACCCAACACCTAGAGCTTGCTGCTTTGAACTTGGATTTCTAGCCTCCGTAACTGTAAGAGAATAAACTCATTTGTTAAAACCATTCAACTGTGGTATTTATTTTAGTGTGGCACAAAGTAACGAGAATACCACCTAAGCCCTAGGGTTTCAAGAGTTGAATAAGTGTGAATACAAATTTGAGATTACTAATAATAATTTCTGATTTTCAGACTTCCCAAAAGCTATCCAAAATGAAATACCTATCCCAAATTTTCCAGCCTCGTACACATAGTTGTCAACATGCTTGTGGTAAATACCCTGTCTTAGTATCTCCTTTCCAAAGCCCTCAGTTTTGTTTCAGTCAGGACTGGTTGTTCTCTAGGCCTTTGCATAACTCTTATTACCGGATTCACCTGTTGTTCCACGGTGTTAGATTTCTCGTCTCTTACATCTTTTGTGTTTTTTCTTCTTTCTTCCCTTTCTCATTTTGAAGCCCTCCTTTGGTAGCTTCCTTAAAAAATAGTACCAAATAAAAAAATCTGAACTCACTGCCGTCAAGTTAATTCTGACTTATAGGGACCCTGTAGGATGGAGTAGAACAGCCTCATAGGGTTTCCAAGGTTGCAGTCTTTATGGAAGCAGACTGCCTCATCTTTCTCCCATGGAGCAGCTGGTGGGTTTGAACCACCAGTCTTTTGGTTAGCAGCCGAATTGTGCCATTAGAGTGCCTTAAAAAATTGTACATAGGAGATAAATTTAATAATGACCATGACTGAAAATGGCATTAAATTTTACCTTCACATTTGAATTCATAGATTTTCTGGACATAGAATTCTAGGTTGCTAAGGTTTAACCTCTGCATTTTGAAGGCATATATTATCTTCTAACTTCCTGGTATTGCTGTTTAGAAGCTCAATGACATTTTGAATTTGATTCCTTTGGCTGTTACCTGTTTTGACTCTAAACTCTTAGGCACTTCTCGTTAATGCTGTGTGGTGGGATTTCAAAGTGTTATTCTTTGTTTTGGTTTATTCAGTAGCCTTTTGAATCTGGAGACTAATATCTAAAAGTTTGGGAAATTTTCCAGTAGTTTTTCAAAATAAATTTCCTTTCTTTTCTCAACTCTTTTCCTTCTTTTTAGAGGTACTATTATTAATCAGTGCAGGAGTTCTGGTAGTGTAGTGCTTAAGGCATTTGACTGCTTACCAGAAGGCTGGAGGTTCAAACTCACTCTTCGGAAGGAAGGTTGGGCATTCTACTTCTCTAGTGATACTGCCTTGGAAACCCAAGGAGGGGTCGCTATGAGTCGAGTCCAACGCGATGGCACATAACAACAGCAACAACATTAGTCAGTGCATGACCAGGCAGTGTTTCGTTCTGTTGCACATAGGGTTGATCTGAGGCGGAGCCAACTTGAAGGCACATAGGGTTGATCTGAGGCGGAGCCAACTTGAAGAAAAACAGCAGCTCAGGGTAGTCCAAATTGATGCTCTGATATTTTAATCTTTTCTCTCATTATCTGTTTCTTTGTCCCTTTATTCTAGTTTCTGAGATATTTTCTTGAGTTATCTTCTAACTTTCCTATTAATTTCAATTTTTATAGCTTTTGTATTTTGGATTTTTAAGAGTTTTCTCTTGTTCTCTAGTAATTTCTTTTATCCTCCCTCCCTCCTTTCTTGGAAGCTTTCTGCTCTTTCTTTTCTTTCTTTATCTTTTGGTTTTATTTTGTGTAATGTTTTTGTTTCTGCTCCTAAGGATATTAATGGTAACTTTTTGAAGTTCTCTTCTGCTATTTGTATTTCTGTATTTATGTGAAGTTTCTTTTGTTGTCTCAAATACCTGGTGGTGAGCTGTTCATTTGCATTTAAGAGGAAGGAACTAAGACTGGACTGCAAACATTGTAGGAGCAATGATGAGTTTCATGCCAAGAAAAAGGGACCTTGAGGTGTTTCCTCCTTGGGGTGATTCCCAAGACAGTATTTCAGGATCCCGTGGGGGCAGATCTACTGGCTGCTGGTCATTTCCCTTTATGTTGGCATTTAGGCTGTGGTTCCTTCTGTTTTGCTTCAGTCTTAGTTTACTAAACCATCTTTAATAATTCATTCACCTCTTTTGCCCTCTATTATTTTTTCCCCTCATTAATTTATACTGTTTTATTCCTTTACTGTCCTTTTAGTGGCTTTTCTAGAGCACAGAGAGGTAAATGCATATATTCAACATGCTAGATTTAACCAGAAGTCTTTAGCCAGACTAGATATTTCTTAATATTATAGACATTATCCTTACCATTATTTAATATTTGTAATTACTGTTTTAAAGAACTCTGTACATTCTGCTTAATAAAGGTACTGTAGTTTATCTAACTGTTCTTCTATTGTTAAGAATTTAGTTTGTTCCTGATTCCAAGGACATGATTTATAGTGCCTGATAAGTCAGGAGTATATGAACTTTGTACAGAGCTACTTTTCTAGGCTTTATTCATTGGTTTTAAAATGTTAAATCCATATTATATGTATGTACTCTTGTATGCAATTGTGAAATGAAAATATCTACTATTTCCCCTTAGGAAGTATAGTATTTTAGTAATACCTTGAAGAGAAAAGATGAGTTTGTTAATAATTGATGACACTTAAATGTATTTTTTAAAATTTATAATTATATGAAAAGTATATATATAATTTTTTAAAAATTTATAATTCTATATGAAAAGTATATATATATAAATTTTTTTATTGTGATAAATATGTAGGTAACAGAACATTTGCCATTTCAACAATCTTCACATTTACAGTTAAGTGACATTAACTATGTTCATTATGTTGTTCAGCCATCACCCTTAACCATTCCAAAATTTTTCTATCACCTTTAACAAAAGCTCAGTGTCCCTTAAGTGTTGTGTCTTCCTTTTCCCTTCCTGCCTGCCTGCCCCTAGTAACCACTAATGAGCTTTGATCTCTATACCCTCTCCTATTCTAGATACTTCATGTAAGTGGGATCATACAGTAATATTCAGTTAAGAAATGTGGGCTGATTTCAGATGTACTAATACATTAATTTTAAAATAATAAATACAGATTTTATTTTATACAAATATTTTTGGATTTAGTAATTTAGTCTAACTACTTTTTATGTAGCAAAATGTATAAAATGTGAATTTTAAATTGTACTTGGTTTTGGCATCTTAAAGTCATTAGATACAATTTCTAGTTATAGGGTTTCTGCTGCTTGTTTTGAAATTTACCTTCCTATTTAAAAATCAACTTCTGAAAAATTGATTATATTTATAGTTCTATTGTATTATATATTCAATTCAATAATAATTTTGTTTTAAAAGATGACTATCTCTTTTTAACACTGGATTTTATTTTATATCTTATTACAATGATTTATTTTTATCTTATGAATGCTTTTGATGATTATCATAAAATAGGATTACATGATTTTAAATACTTTTGACATGAGAGAGAAGTATACTGAACAGCTTTTATAGTATACCATTAAATTCTCATTTATGAAAACTAGTAATAGATATCATGTGAAATTTCACTGAAACAGTAAAGAGAACATGGGTATAGAGCTTTTCTACCCTCCATGATCAACTTATTTGATATAATATAAATTTACTGTTTGTTTATTTATCTGATTGTTTCTTGATTCTAAATTATATATGTATTTATTTATTTTACAGTTACCTGCCATGGTTTGAAGTGTATTATAAGCTTTTAAATACTCTGGCAGATTACTTGGCTAAGGAACTGGTAAGCTGTTTTTTTCTTAAAAATTAAAACAAAAAATGGAAGTTTGTTTTTGAATTAACTAATTTCTCTAGGATGATGATTTGATAGATTCTTTCCCTTAATGATATGTTTTTAACAAAGGCTAATCTACTAAGAAAGGAGCTCTGGTGACATAGTAGGTAAGACATTTGTCTGCAAACCGGAAGGTCGCAGTTCAAACCCACCAGACGCTCCATGGGAGAAAGATGAGGCAATATAGTTTCATAAGGATTTACAGCCTTTGAAACCTAATGGGGTCACTATGAGTTAGAATCAACTCAATGTCAGTGGGTGGGAATCTACTAAGAAAAGAGCTCTGGTGGTGCAGTGGTTAGGTGCTGGGCTGCCAACTGAAGGTTTTTGTTTTAAAACAAAGCTATATTTAGCACAGATACTACTTATTCAAATATACTACCTGACTCCTCAGGCTGAGTTAGATGATGCCTGCTGTTGATTTCCAAAGCATACTGTGTTGCAATTCTCTCCACACAACTGAGTTTAAGATGAGTGTTGAGTCTCTTCTACCTTTGTATCCCCAATAGCAAGTAGGTATTGAACAAAAGTTGTGGAATAAAGAAACATACATTAGAAAAATTATAATATTTAATTTTAAATCTGCTGGCGTAGTGCCTAAGGCACTTGACTGCTAACCACAAGGCTGGCGGTTCAAACCCACCAGCCACTCCTCGGAAGGAAGGTTGGGCAATCCTACTTCCATAGTGATACTGCCT